AGCTTTTCACGAAATCGAAGCAGAAAAATGCCGGTCCCCGATAACTTGTTGCTTCCTCTAAATACCGAACGGGAGTGGCCATCTCCCCCCGGTGGTTCCGAGAAATCAATAACTGTTTTTTAAACAAAGAAATAAATAACGTAACGAAGCAACCGTGACCGAGGACTCACGCACCACTACCTCGATCGGCGTATGTTAGCCTGTGCTTGATGCTACAAGAGCGAGATCGATACATAAATTTGTATGTGTGTACGTGTATATGTATCATAAGGTCTGAATCATTCGTATTATTTTAATCGTGCACGATTTATAAGGGCTTGTACGCAACAGAGACCCTCGACCGAGTCGAAATTGTAATTCGGCGCTGTCCCGATTAACGCGGAGCATTCTTGTCCGATATAAATGTCGGGATGACCGATCGGGAAAGCGCCGGTTTTCAGTACGTACGGATACAGCGAGCACACGTCTACGTAGCGTATTTTCTCGTTACCCGTGATTTCACGCAACGTAGCGATATTTCCCATACGACCGCCGTAAAACGCGTCGCGAGGGTCGAGAGGCGGGGATTTCAGCAACGGATGATTCTGGAAAAAATCCCGCATCTCGCGATTCTCGCGCGTCTCTCGGTCGAAGTCGCACTCCCATTTCTCCGTCACGTGGTATCCCTGTTTTCGAAGACGCCATGTCGTTGCGAGAGTCCGCTCGTAGCGCGCGTCGATCGTGTCTTCGCGACTCGAAAGTCGTCTATCGCGATTCAGCCGAAAGCACGCCGGACAGCCGTGCCAAAACACCCGTGGAATTGCAGCACGTAGCGCCGCGTCTCGTTCGTATCTCCCGCGGTCCTCGATTCGTAATATCCGTCGACGCGCGTGCCTTCGATTCGGTACTCGCGTCCTCGACCCGCGTGGATTATACGATGACCGAGCTCGCGCTCCATCCACACCAGCCATCGCAGAGCCTTACTCGACTGATTGTCGGCGTATCTATATCCCCCCACCGGGATGAGTCCTATTTCCTTTTCGCGCAAAAAGTTTTTGCCAAAAATCCTCATGCACGTGGAGGCGATAGTCGTGCATTCCTCGAACGGACATACGCCTCCACGTTCTAAAAAGATCTTTCTGAAAGCCATACACGCGTGTCGGAGGATATCCACGTCGTTGCGGCAATACCGAATTATCTCGCATTGAAAATCGAAAACGATATTTTTACGCGTCATCTCCGCGTGCCACGTTAGAAACCGTTCGCGCTCCTCGGGTTTCATTTGTTCGGGAGAATAATATCGTACTTCGGGTAACGGACCGACGTACGTTTGATTCTCACGCGTGTTAAACAAATGCGGGAAGATCCCCTTATCCGCCGTATCCCGCAACCCGAAAGCTTTTGGTAAATCGGACAAGCGCATCGGCATGTAATTCACGCTATCGATAAATTTAGTATGTCCGACCGTCATTACGATAATTTTAGTTCCGTTCAAAATCACCCGTGGTTCTTCCATCGTTTTCGCGTCCTCTACCAAGTGTTTTAAAATAAACTGCGCGTCAAACGCTTTTGCATTATGCGCGATACAGATGATCTTTTTGAAATATTTCGTCGTACGCGTGGCGAAATCGACAAACTGTTTTACCGGATCGTGCCGAAATATGAATTCGCGCACTCCGCACCAGCGGCATATCACCGACGTCGTATCGTCTATCGTCGAGCACTCTTCGCAAATCTGCTGCGCGACGCAAAGAGTCGGCACGTGAATCTTTACGCTCTCGCAGTCTCGTCTTGTCGAGTTTCGAAGTCGTAAAACACGAATGCGACGCGATTCCTGTTTGCGTCTGTCGCCGCCGCCGACGCCGCCGCAGATGGCTCGTTAGTTTCGTTCGCGTGCGTCTCTATCGCGTTCGTACCCCCCCCCCGGATCTTCGCACGCGCGGTTTTTCGCGCATCGACGAGGCTGCATAAAACAAAGATGATTCGTGGACTGGCACGAGCGACACGTCTTGCAATACGCTACGTCGCATTTGTGTAGCGAGTTCGATTTTACGAATCGCCCGCAACCGTCGCAAATTCGAACGGATTTACAAACGCTCGCGCTCGATCTACCGTCGTAGGATTTTTCCGCTCGATGACGCTCGAAACACGAATTACCGAAGAACGAACGATTACACGACGCGCACTTGACGATCTCCGCGTCACGATCTTCGCACGACGCGCGACGCCGCGGCGTAGCATCGCGGGTACCTTTTCGCGCAGCGATGGCCTCTGTCGTTACGAAAACCCGTGTTGCACGTCACGCAATATCCACCTCGAGAACCGGCGGCGGCCTTTAAATTTAAGATAGGGTTATAATGACGCGAACGCTCGTAATATAATATATTCAATCGGTGGGTGGGTTCGCGACCTAGAGAGCCGAGTAACTCGCAGCCGTCGTACAATAGTTTCCCCCCGCGAGCAAAAGTACTAAAATTATATACCGCTATCGCTATATTTTCAGCGGCGAGAAACCGCTGAAAACGCTCGATTTCGCGAATCCCGCATCCCTCCTCGGGTATCGTAATACCGGCGTTCCTCGTCAGTTCTAACGCTAATGTCCGCTGTAAGCGCTAAGAACTCCGGTATCTTACGGAATTCCACCTTTTGTGGAGTTCTCCCTCGCGCAGATTTCCGCGCTCGCAATAAATTCGCGCCACTACGAGTGATCGGGGTAGGCACAAATTATCAGTATTACCGAGCTGCAAAATCGAGCGCTTAGCAACGTCCTCTCGCGTCAATTTATTCGACACGCCCCCGCGCCCCGTGGGCGCCGCGACGTTAAAAACGCGTACGACGAAACTTTCGGCGATATCGAGCCCCGCGGCGCTCTGCGCTATCGAACTCACGAGTCCCCATATGTCCTCGTGGGTCAAGTCACGCACCGGACGAAAGGATAGCCCTGCCGGTCCGTGCGTCAGATCCACCGAATCGAACGTTAACCCCACGTAATCGCTCGGGGCGCTCGAACGAATCGCGTACGCGTGAATTTCGCGGAACGCGTTTTCTAGCCAGCGTACGGTATCGCTACCCTCGGGCAACGCGCGTATTCTAAAACTCGCCTCCCGATCTCGAAGTTTCAAAATCGCCGCGAGTTTTCCGCCTGTAGTTCTATAAAATGAAAATTATCTACGACCTGACGACGCTGCTGTTCCTGCTGCTGCTGCTGCTGCTGCTGCTGCTGCTGCTGATGGTGCTGCTGCTGCTGCAGGTGCTGCTGTTGTTGCTGCCGATGCTGATGCTGCCGGAGCACGCCATCGGCGTCATCGTTGTCGTCGTCGTCGTTGTCGTTGTGATTATCGTTGTTCTCCAAGGAATTATGCGAGAGTTCGGCTTCTTCTTCTTCTTCTTCTTCCGCTGGAGAATTCTCCTCTCTCTCATTTTGCGAAGAGGGTCGGTTAGCACCGGCGCCAGTCTGTACTGGAAAAATTAAACACAGTTAGTTAATCGCCGACAGCAGCGAATTATATTACGTTTGAATCTTATTTTTCTTTCTCTCTCGCGATACAACGACTATGTCATAGCATACCAAGGAAACTCACCTCTAGCTGGTTTATACCCACGCCCGGGATAATATTTTTCTCCCTTCCCCGCCTCTTTGTCAATATTCCGGAGACAAGGGGAAAACCGGAGAGTATGATATATCTAATAAGAAATACTCTCTTAAAATTACTACGAAGCAAATTAATTGAAAAGCGTGGCGAAATATTGTTACCTTCCTCCTCCTCCTCCTCCTCCTCCTCCTCCTCTTCCTCCTGCCCCTCGCCAAGCTCTTCCCGCATCTCCTGATACCCGATATCAGTGTCGTAGTCGAAAGGCTGCGATTCTTCTTCTTCTTCTTCTTCTTCTTCTTCTCCCAGCCTAGCCTCCTCCTCCTCCTCCTCCTCCTCCTCTTCCTCGCTCTCCATCTCCTCTACTAAAAGGTAATATTTTATTATCTTGTATCTAAACTACTCGACGTAGGACTTTTTAATTTTTAAAACTTATTCTTCAAACTTACGCGGCGTAAATATAGCTGGATCCGCCGGACTCACTGACCTATGCGAGCCGTTATCCTCTTCCCTCACCGCTTCATCCTCTGCTTCTAAAACGTAATTTGATTATTAATACGCGTACACTTTTACAATTCGTTATTCTTAAATAGCGGCTTACTGACGG